GATCTACACCTAGCCTTCTCGGACAAGGGCGAAAAATCTCGGAGGGCCCGTGTGCAAGTTGCGCACGTTAAAGATCCCTTGGTGGTCTACAATCGGTAAGAGTAGGCTTCGGCCGCCACCCGGGCAAAATTCAAAATTTCCTATCAACTGAAAATATTAGGTGTGTCCCGCACGCTCATATGACCTTATGCAGTTGCGAGCGCCGTAAAACACTTTACAAAAAACAAAATAAACAAACACACGCTAAGGAGCCCTCCGTGCGTTTAGGCGGAGACTACTGCAAACCACACCGGAGCACCTGCCAACCACCCGCTGTAATTACTTTTAAATATTCAAGTTTTGGTAGAAGAATGTAGGCTTAATTATTATTGGTGTACCGGTAACTTCCTTGGTCCTGTGTATGTCAACTCGACCCTTTGTGTGCAACGCTGCCCTGTGAAGTGAGCAGTGAGGGGTTGAGGGAGTGAATCAAATGACGTCTGTGTAAAAAACATGCCATGTATTTCAGTCGAACCTGCCCTGACGGCCACCTCTATAAGACGGCCACCGGTACAAACGGCCACTTTCCATTTTCCCCCTTGCGTTTTTTCTATACATGTATAATATAACTGTGTAAAACGGGCACCTGTCCAACGCGGCCGCGGCCACCTTATTTTAACACACAACCCATATGATCTATCACACCAAACAATGACACCTATCTTAGATGGCAACCTCAGTGACTCCTTTACGTTTTATCATAAACCATGCATTGGCCCCTGGCGTTGTGGGCGAGCCGTCATAATCCAATCACCTGTCGTTGTAGAACCTGTTAGGTAGTCCCTCCAACCGATCATATTGAGTAGGCCACTCCCACTGTTGACCGATAGGTACCAATGTTCAGCTGCTGGTGAGGTAAGCGTGTGATCCCTCATAACCCATAAGCCCCGCCCAGAACTCATGCACAAATCGTAAGTGGGATGAGTGGTCACTGTTTACCCAGTCAGAAACAAAGTAACAATGGACGTCGACGTGAACTTGTGAATTGTGAAAGAAGCGTCGCTCGTTCTTCGAGTGGTAGCGACCCATGTGTTTGTTTTACCATAACAGTCGGTCTCCTTGTCTGACACATTTCGTTTTATTGTCACCCTTGCACAAAAGCAGCAACAAAACAACAACAAAAACTTGCGAAAACAACAACAACAACGATAACAATGCGGCAAGCTCCGGTTGGGACCTCAGAAAGGAAAGGTTTGTTTTCTTCATCTTGTTCAGTCCTGCCTAAGACGGGCACCTGTCTTATACGGCCACTTTTCTCCTTGACAATGGGTGGCCGTCTTGCACTGGTTCGACTGTATTTATTGTTTGTGGGGTGTTCAGTCACCCGTGTGTTATTTTGTACCTAATTTGTTTCTGTGTATTTGCGGTCACACCAATGTATAATATGTCTGTGTGTGTGTGTTTGTGTGTGTGTGTCGAGTCAAACATGTGTATTTGTTTGCTTGTTTGTTTGTGTGTGTGT